GAGACCAGTCCAGGCAACTTGGTGAGACCTTGTCTCTACAATAAATCAAAAAGTAACCAGATGTGGTAGCGCATGCCTGTGGTTCCGGCTACTTGGAAGGGTGAGGCGGAAGGATCGCCTGAGTCCAGCAGGTCAAGGCTGCAGTGGTCGTGAGTATGCCACTGCATTCCAGCCTGGGCAATAGAGTTAGACTCCAACTCAAAAAATAAAATATATGTGTGTGTGTGTGTGTGTATCCATTTTTTTGGCACCCTCTGACATATGTATATCTCAGAAGTGTTTTTCATTTTGAGGAGTAACTGTTTTACTGAGATATAATTCACACACTATATAATTTGCCTAAAGTGTACAGGTCGATGGTTTTCAGTATATTCACAGAGTTGTGCAACCATCACCACAATTAATTCTTTTTTTTTTTTTTTTTGAGTTGGAGTCTCACTCTGTTGCCCAGATGGGAGTGCAGTACCATGCTCATGGCCACTGCAGCCTCCACCTGCTGGGCTCAGGCGATCCTTCTGCCTCGGCCTTCCAAGTAGCTGGAACCACAGGTGCACGCCACCACACCCAGCTAATTTTTTGATTTATTGTAGAGACAAGATCTTGCCAACTTGCCCAGGCTGGTATCGAACTTGTGTGCTCAGGCAATCCTCTCACCTCCGCCTTTCAAAATGCTGGGATTACAGGCGTAAGCCACCGCCCGGCCACAATTAATTCTAAAACTTTTTTTCCTTTCTTTTTTTTTTGTAATGATGGTCCTTTATGATTTTAGAACATTTTCATCACCCCCAACAAGAAACTCCTTGTTCAAAAATGTTCATAGCAGAATTATTTGCAATCGCCAAAATGTGGTATATCCATACAATAGAATACTATTTAACCATAAAAAGGAAGGAAATACTGATATATGGTACAACATGGGTGAAAAACTTATGCTAAGAAGTCAGACATTGCTGGGTGCTATGGCTCATGCTTGTAATCCCAGCACTTTGAGAGGCAGAGGCAAGAGAATTGCCTGAGCACCATGGGTTCGAGACTAGCCTGGGCAACTTGGTGAGACCTCGTCTCTACAATAAATCCAAAAATTAGCTGGGCGTGGTTGTGCATGCCTGTAGCTCCAGCTACTTGGAAGGCTGAGACTGAAGGATCACCTGAGCTCAGCAGGTTGAGGCTGCAGTGGCTGAGAGCATGCCACTGCACTCCAACCTGGGCGAGAGTGAAACTCTGACTCAAAAGTAGCTGGAACTACAGGCGCGTGCTACCATGCCCGGCTAATTTTTGATTTATTGTCGAGATGAGGTCTTGCCAAGTTGCCCAGGCTGGTCTTGAACCCGCGGGCTCAGGCAATCCGCTGGGATTACAGGCTGAGTCACCGAGCCCGGCCTGAATATGTTAAAGTGGTTAAAATGGTGAGTTTTGGCTGGGCACTGTGCTTCATGCCTGTAATTCCAGTACTTTGGGAGGCTGAGGTGAGAGAATCACTTGAACCCAGGAGTTTGTGACCAGCCTGGGCAACATGAGTCTACAAAAAATGAAAAAATTAGTCAGGTGTGGTGGTGCGTGCCTGTAGTTCCAGTTACTTGGGAAGCAGAGGCAGAAGGACCACCTGAGCCCATAAGGCTGAGGTTGTGATCGTGCCACTGTACTTCTGTCTCAAAAAAGAAGATGAGTTTTATGTTACATGAATTTTATTTGCTTGGCTTGTAGTCTCATTACTCTAGTGTCTGTCTCTGCCTTCATATGACTTCTCCCCTGTGGGTGTTTTCTGTGTCCTCTCCTCTCCTTATAAGGACACTAGTCATTGGATTTGGGGCCCACCTAATCCAGTATGACCTTATTTTAATCCAGCATGATCTCAATTTAATTAATTATGTCTGCAAAGACCCTGTTTCCAAATAAGGTCTAATTTTGAAGTTCTGGGTGAATGTGAATTTTTGGAGACATTATTCAACCCACTACAAGATTCCCTACCAATTGGGTTATCTTTTTTTTTTGAGTTGGAGTCTCACTCTGTCACCCAGACTGGAGTGCAGTGGCCGCTCCCGGCCACCGCAGTCTCGACCTGCTGGGCTCCGGCGATCCTTCCACCTCGGCCTTCCAAGTAGCCAGAATTATAGGCGCGCGCTACCACGCCCGGCTGATTTTTTGATTTATTGTAGAGATGAGGTCTCAATGCCCAGGCAGGTCTCGAACCTTGCAGACTCAGGCAATCCACTCACCTCAGCCTCCCAAAGGCGCAGGATTACAGGCGGAGCCACCGAGCCCGGCTTAGTTTTTGATTTATTGTAGAGAAGAGGTCTCTCCAAGTTGCCCGGGAGGGTCTCGAACCTGCGGGCTCAGGCAATCCACTTGCCTCAGTCTCCCAAAGTGCTGCGATTACAGGCTGAGCCATCGAGCCTGACCTCCTTTGGTATTAAAAAAAAAAAACAAAACTGAAATAACAAAAGCAGGTCCAGGCTGAATTAACAGTCATGAGTTCTGGTGGTAACTACTGCTGTATTCAGTCTGTCCTCAACTGAAAAACCCAGACCTGTCTTCTTCCTTCCTCTTTCGACAAATGCCAAAGGTAACTATGTAGGAGGACTTTTCAGAGGAGAAGACACTTTGTCTTCCCAGAAGACAAACCCTCCACTTTGCTTTATGAGGCAGATAGCAACCCCAAACCACCAATCGGGTTGGGGCTTGCGCAGGCCTCACAGCGGCACCTTCTTAAATGTTGGGAGGGACGGGGGTTCGGTATTTTACCCAGGCTGGTCTCGAACTCCCGGCCTCAAGCAACCCTCCTCTCAGCCTACCGAGTCGCTGTGACTACAGCGGTGAGCCACCGCGCCGGCCAGACTTCAAAGGCTCCTTTTAGTCAAGGGAAACAGGACAGCACGGAAGTTCAAGCTTCCTCCCAACGGCACCTGGGCCATCCTAAGTGTCAAATACCATTTCCTGTTACAGACACACGTCTGTGCTTTCAAGAGGAAATTAACATCACTCCCAATCTCCGGAGTAAAACCGGACAGCCTGGCTAGGACGGGAGAGACCAACATTTCGGTTCCCAGGAAAGCATAACTTTTTCCCCTCGTGGAGAAACATCTACTTTGACTCAGAAAAGCTAGAATTGAGCAAATCTTTACCTACAGTAACATTCCTAAATGCCTTGGAACGAGAACAGCCCCTTTCACACCGAGACGTTTTACAAAAATTTCCCCCCCCCTCCTGTCAACAAGGTAAAAGCAAGAAAAAAGGCAAGGAAACAATTGGGACACACAGCAGTTTCGTTTTAACTGAGGCTGCAGACGGAATAGTAATTGAAAGCCCTGCGAAATCATTTAACCAGGCTGCTCTTTAGTGATGCAAGGCAGGGTTTAGGAAATCTGTCTACCTTCCGTCCCTCTGGGTCAAAAAGAGAGGGACAGATACTACCCGACGTGGGGCATGTGTTCCCACCAGCTCCCTTCTGCTGCCTTTTTACCCGAGGGCCGCCTGGCCACGCGGCTCTCTCTGGAAAGCGTCCTGGGCTCTGAGGATGTGGCACCGGTCCACTCTCTGGCCGAGGAGAACGCGGGGAGAAGAGTGCTCCGGGCGAGCCAGGAGGGGACACCGAGAAAGGTTTTGACTGCAGGAGCCGCGGGCCTGGGGGTCTCCGTTCACCAGAGACGTCTTCGCCGCCCTCCCCAATCTAGGAAGCCCCCAGCGCCTCATAGAGGCGGCGAGAAGACCCCACCCCCACCCTGGACTCTTGACAAGAGCATGGGGTGACGGTCCCCGCCTCTTAGAAATGAATACCGCGCAGAATTCTAACCCGCACCTGGAGGCGCTTCTCCGCGGGCGGGGTGTAGGCGGCCGGAAGATGGCGGCGGCGGCGGGGTCCCAGGGTCACTCTCCGAGGCGCCCTTGAATGGCTCTCGCGGCCGCGCCACCTACCTTGCTAGCGGGCGGCCCCGGGCGCGGCGCGAAGGGGCGGGAGGGAGAGGTGACGAACATCTGGCGGCTCCAATGAGCGGCTAGGTGTCCGGTAAGAGGCCAATCAGGGCCCGGGCGGCGGAGACAGGGTAGGTTGCGTAGGGGCGGTGCGTGTGGCGGACACGGAACGCGCGGGAGCGCTCTTGCGAGCCGGCTGGAGCTGTCCGCCTCGCCGCTTCCCGCGCGCTCTGCACCACGACCCCCGGAGCCGGCCGGAGAAGCTGGGGGCCCGACAGGCTCGGTCGGTCTGCGGCCTGAGCACCGGAGCG